GAGGATAAGTCGGCCAGTTTCCACTGGAAATGCCTTTTGGTTAAACTGTCAGCAAGAATTTGCACTGTTACATTTTTACATAACTTGGACATAAAAAAAACAGCTGCTTGTTTAAGTGAAAATCATTGTTGTTGTTGTTTTTTTTTTTTTTTTGCACTAATAAAGTTGTGGAGTTGTAAAGAATTTTGTCTCGTGTCAATTATATTGTCAGTTATATCGTTATCTCAAATTTTCAAAAGTATATCGTGATAAATATTTTAGGTCATATCGTCCTGCTCTATACAAGGGTATAGCAGCATTTACCCAGAAATATTGTTATTCATCAGAATCAGAAGATCAATTCCTGTATAATTTCTGTGAGAACATGAGTATGACAGAGTATGTGTTAAACTTTACGTAATAGCAAATTTGTCACTTTGATGAGGAAATTAACTTTGACTTTGGCTTCTGTCTCATTTCTGCTTCAGATTCCAAACTTGAAAGAAGAAGAGGCGATGACAGTGGTACAGATATTTTTTTAAGACTGTGGATGCTACTGATGGATGCTACACTGTGACTGAAGCTCGGAGAATTAGGATCCAATTAAAGTTGCAGTTATTTGAAAGCATGAAGTGAGAGGGGTGGGCTCTTGCATGTCTCTATTATAAGGGGGGGGATCTGAATATCACATCATATCACAAATATTTATGAAAGGATTTTCATGAAAGCCTAGTCGCTGTGCTCGATGGAATGAAGTTTAAACTAGATTTTGAATGACAAATGCAGATAATGGAAAATAAAGGTGCAAACAAACTCAGATTTCAGTGACAAACCTTTCAACCACAGTGTAACAGCTCGTGTTTACTTAGGACATTGTCTCTTTTTTTAATATAATTTTTAATATACTTTGAAATGTTTTCAACTCAGCTATTTGTGACTGAGTCTTTATTATAGTCTTACTTGCTAATGAATTTCAGTAATAAGAACATCAGAAGTGATTTGTCTGTTTCTTAACATTTGTGGAGTCCACTTTGTGTTAAACCCTGGTCAGGGTGTTTGTGCTTTAACAGTATTATTTTCTTCTCTTTTTAGCGTAACACATTTCGCAGCGACATTGGAGAGGGTTCCATTTTATTAACGGTAATTTTTTACTATACTACTACTTTCATAAACGGTGCCTTTTAAAAGACTTAATGTTTCACACACGTGGTTTCCTTGACTGATGGTTGAATTAGACCAGAATGGATTATAAAACAAACAGAAACACAGCCTTGACTGATTTAATAATAAGTTTGCTTTTTTGTCAGAAGGCATCAAGTTGTAGCTACTAAAATGTTCTTTTCCAACAGCTCTTGAAAAAGAATAATAATCCAGGTCTGTTTGTGTGCTGCATACTGGACTTCTCTCTGCTGGGAAGAAACACACAGTTCACTGGGATAAATTTCTTTTGCAAGGAGCTGAAAAGAGAAGTGATTTTCTTTCTTTCTTTTTTCTTTTTTTGTGGCTAACAATTTTATGTTGAAAAGAAATTACCTGTTTTTTGCATTGGGAAATTCAGTAATACACCATTCAGAAATTATCCCTTTTGCAAGTTTTTTACTAGTGTCTGTACAAATATGGGACATACAAGGAGTGCAGAATTATTAGGCAAGTTGTATTTTT